ACTTGATACCCAATTACAGGAAAACGAAATCGTTGAAAAGGTATGTTCACGTCTTCGAATAGTTCACTTGATGGAAATTATTACTTTTATCGTTATTGAATTTCTCATTTAATCGCGTAGGAATTTAAATTATTGAACGATGATTCAAATATTTATAAATTGATTGGTCCTGTACTGGTCAAACAAGAAAAATCAGAGGCTACCTTAAACGTTTCAAAACGGCTGGAATATATTAGATCTGAAATGTTTGTTTCCTTCCTTCTTTCTCTTTATTGCTGTGGTGATAAGTTGACAACGCGTGATTTGACGTGATACTTTCGAGGATCGTCGAATACAAACGAAGAAAAGATTATGCTACCATTCACCACATCCGTTTTTTTTTTTTAGAAAACGCGTGGAATCTCAAATCAAAGATTTAACTGAAAAATTAGAGAAAAAGAAACTTGAAGTATGAATTTTCTTTTATTTTTCGAGAGTGCTCTAAGTTCATCAGTTCCGGGTATCAATTACAACCAAGCACCTCATTCAAAATTCTGTATACATTTTCTCATCTGATTCCAGGTTGTTGAAATTCAGGGACAATATTCATTAAGCTTGCAAAAATCCGAAGCAGCCACCCAGTAGAAACATAGAACAACGAGAACTATTTTACATTATTTAAACAATGGGATGGGTGATAATAAATCGAGCTCAACTTGAAAATCATTATTAGAAAGATTGTAGATGTAAGCAAAGCAATGTGAGTGGAAGTTTGGAAAATATCGAATGTTTCTATTGAAACGTTATAATTCAATGGCATCATACGCTTTCATTATCATATTAATAATATTGAGGAAAATTGAGTTTTCTTTTTTATTACAAAAAATAAACACTTATTTCCGACTTTAATGTATAATATGTCATGGTGTTGTGTTGGTTTTGGTATTCATCTGCCTTCTTTCTTTTCCCATTGTTCTAATACTTTTAGGCATTCTGTCACATCTTTTCCTTCACAAACATTAGCAATTTCGTGTACAATGCATCTAACCACCGCATTTCGAAAATTCTCATCATTATCAATTGGTTCATAATTATTTGACCCATTATTCCCATCTTCATCATAAGTTCTTCCAGTTGCCCTCATTATCACCTTTTCTAACCCTTCCCTCGTAAAATTTACGGCACCTTTCGTCGATCTTGTAAGTATCGCACTAAGAAACTGGAGTCCAAATGTTTTAAAGCTCTCTAACGTCCTTACGTTCGAAAACAAGTGCTCGATTGTCTCTTGGTTCGGTTCAATATGAATTGGTAGTTTATTGAATAGTTCTAAGGGCGAAAGATCGGAGAATGGTGTTTTTTTTGGCGAAGAACGCAATAATGGTAATAGAGGTGAAGAAGGTAGTGAAATTGCTCTCATAAATAAATTGAACAATGAGATATCCATATTAATGTGACTGGACCGAATTGCAAATCGATTTTCTATAGATGATAGATCTACTGTTGAATTTTCTATAAGATTCAATTGTCTCGAGTGGTAAATGTTATTGCCTTTATTGTTTTTAATACCACTGAGATCACTACCATCGGTATTATTACTGTTGATATCGTTATCATTAAGTCGAAGTTGTTCTAACTTTATACGTGCTTCATAAAACTCCAGTAGCCCACGAGAATCTCCGAGCCTACCGAATGCAAATAAGATTGCACTAATTAATCGTTTTGGCATTATGCTAGTTTTAGGTCGCGTGAACATCCCTTCCAGCAATTTCCACAGATGCTCTCGTTGCGTTTTAATGAATGCCGATTGTTTTGATAAATTCCAAATTGAAAAATCTCGCGTTGGAGTATTTTTTAATGTACTCAAATGACAATGGTCATTGCGAATGTTCGTCTCTATCGTAATTGTGGGACTGAAGGTGATAGGTCTTCCTATTGTATCCAACATTTGTTGATATCCACGTATGGATGGTTCTAAATTTTTGGACCACATCATCTCCAATATTTTCATTCCTCGAGTAATATCACCTCTTCGCACACAGGTACTCAACAGATTGTTGTATGCCCCAACCTCTATCTCACCTTGTGATTTACGAAGTATTCGTAATAAATAATCCAAACATTTCGGCATTCCAGCTTCCCTCTTTTCCGCAAGTTCCTTCACTAGTGAAAGTTTGTCATTTTCAGCAATCCGAATATCTTTATTTTCATGATCACCAAATGCTAATCTGGAACACATTTTAATGATCTCCACTTGCAAAGTTGGATTATCGTGGAATCTAAGATTTATGATTTTCGCCCACAGTCCCTCGAGACTATCAAAATTTTTGCAATACTGTAGCAAAATCCGGAGTGTTTCACCATTTGGACCAATTCTCCATAATGACATTAGATTGATGATAATATCGATGCTCTCTTGTTTGTAGGAATCGGAATTCGCTATCAGGCACGTGTGAAGAAGTGTGTTTAATGTGTCACAATCGAGTTTGTGGCCTCTGACGATTAGTTTTTGGAGATAGGAAAAACAAAGGTAAATATTCTTTCCCTTGGATGCCGACTTTATTAATGTCTTGTATGTCTTATCGTTGGGTATTATCATATATCTTGGCATATTTTCAAATACTGTGTATAATAAAGGCATACGTAGATTTGTAGTGAATTAGAAAACTAATTGAATAATAAAAATAAAAGGTTTTAATGAAGCATTGTTTATTCTAAATAGAAAGATCATGGAGCAAGAAAAATTACTTACAAATCCTAACTTCTTCAAAGCGTCCTTTTTCAGCGTAGATGCATGATATCATGTTCCAAACCTTTGTTACATACCCCCCAATCAAATATTTTCTCTCGCTAGCATTGACATCACGCACAAATTGTGCAAAGACAACTTCCATTAAGTCCAACCTGTCGATATTTGCAAATTGACGCAACAGATAAGAGATCAAGTCCAGGTAAAAAGGTTTTAGACGATAGTGCGTGTATAGGTTTTTGTATAAACTCAGCGCTTGAAATGAGGTTAGCTTGGAACTATAGGGAGACGATAATGCTTCGTTGACTTCAATGAATGCCTGATATTAATAAAGATGAAGATGGAATAACAGCTTAGCGTAGAGTGTGTGAAAGATAACTTCTTTAAACAAGCAATTATTAAGAGAACCAGGTTTCTCGTAAACATATTAAAAACGAACCTTACTTTCGAAGCGTCAGTCGATTTCTTTCCCTTGCGTTTCTCTGGCGTCTCCTTTCTAATATCGCTACCATTTTCACCGTCGATTTCCGAACGTTTACGTAATGCTTGGATGAGAACATTCTTGTTAGGAAGGGAACCATCAAAAAGGCTTTTTTGATGTTTAAAATTTTGGTAATGCTGATGTTCTCTCGCATTTAAATTCGAAGTCGTCGTTTGATAATGACAATTGGTAGCAAATGATTTGTTACGACTTTGTGAAAACAGCTGGAAAAGTTGCTGAAAATATGTCCTGAATGACTGTTGCGTGGTCCTTAGGTCGGCGACAAGTATTAGGTTTGAACCGCGTATATGCATTTTTGGACATCAAAAAAAAAAAAAGGGAAAATTTTTTATTTTATCTTTCAACCATCACACAATCTAGTGAAACCTCGTGACTTTAGTTAAACTGGATGCATCTCGTGACAATGTTTAATCATATTTTTAAAAGATTTTTTTAAAAAGATTTTTATATGTTTGAAAATTTCAAAAAAAGATTTATAATACTGTATGTTGTATACTTGAAGTTTTAGATTAATTAAATTATTTATTTATTTATTTATTATACACTATATACTGTATAAGTTGGTAAAAATATTCGAACGTATTTAAATTTTTATAATCATTTTATTAAATATAAAGTATTTTATTTAAACTCAATAAATACAGTTGACGATTTTTTCCATTTTCATTTTAAAAATTTTTTACAATGCAGAATTTTACCTGAAATAAAAGCAACAAATAACGGTTTATTGATCCTACGTATACGCATGGGCGTAGAAATGGCAGAGCTTTGTTTCTTTTACAAGAAAAAAAAGAAATTGGAAAGAACATTTATCCATAAAATCATTTCATTGTAACGAGTGAGTGCCCGTTATGAGCAAACAAAGTGATTTATGGTGTCGATTTACATGTTTTTGCTGCGAAGGTCAGGGTAACTCGATCTGAAGAGTGTAGTAAAATTTACAAAGGCGATTCATTTCGTATTGTGCGTTGTAATAAAATTTTTTGGAAAATTACTTTCGGAGGTAAAAATTGGAAGCCATTCAACTACGCAGAAATTGCTTTTTACGTGCGTAAATGTGTGAGCGAGGTTATATGAATCATGCACAGCACTCTTTCAATACGTACATATAAAGCTTTGACTATTAGCTCGGATGTTCACACAATGAATTGTTCCGCACCTCTTTATGGTGCATACATGTGAACTTCTTTTATGGATTACTCTGTATGTGGAAATAAATCGTCATTCGCAGGTTTAAAAATAGATATGCCTATTTTATTTTGTCGAAATATGAATGCAATATCCGCTTTATCTTAGTGGAAACGATCCATCATTAATTGGTCATGTGTATAGCTAGTATAAATGTTTTTTTTGTTGGCGTTAAAGAGAGGAGGGTTCACCAAAGTTGAATCAGAATAATCACCTGCGCCATTTAATAAGTTTAAAAAGCTCGTTGTTTTTCGCTTACTCATTCCTACCGATTTTTTCATCGCGAAGGATCCTTTAAAATGACCGAAGCTCTCTCCGATCATAAAACTATTACCATCATATACCAGTTCTCCGATTCCCAAATCATTAAACATCAGATGAGATTCAATGAATCTTCCACCTTCGAAGTCATTCGGCAGACGATCGCGGCATCCTTTAACCTGACAGATTTCGTCTTGTATGAAAATGAGGTGATAATTCCACACACTTATGACGCATTCCTTCATGGTAAAACTTATGAGATAAGGTGTCCAGGTCATGAAACTAGGGGCCAAGAAGGTGACTATTCCAACTTGAAATCAAGTAGGCGAAAAGCATGTGATCTGTGCGTAAAATCAAGAAAAAGATGCGAACGAGACTCGATGAATGACGACTGTCAGAGATGTATTAAATTGAACACTGACTGTGCGACCACATTTTGAAGAGATATTTCTTTAGCATATACAATTTATTCGATCCTTTTTTTTTTTTTTTTCAAATCGGTTCTTTTTTTATCATTTTTTTACTATAACGAATTTATGACCAATATTACCTATCATTGTAAGAATGTGTTTATGCGTTCTCTACCATAAAGTTTCTACTCATTTTTTTATTTCCTTATACACATCTGTTCAGTTATGGAAAGAGATCATAGAAGAATAAATAAAATCGTAAGCAAGGCTGTTGTCAATATTCCAATCTCTGGGATGCAAAATATAATAAATTATAATTTTACATTTTAACACTTAAAAAAAAAAAAATTAAAATATCACCGATTTATTATCTGTGTTTACTATTAAACTGTAGATATTGCTTTATTTGAAAATAGAATAATTGTGCAATGTAAAAAGTAGAATTGGAAATTATACAATAGATAAAAAGAAATTGCTTGAAAAAATAATGTCATTCGTGAACTCAATTTACTGTATTACTGTATGTTTTACTTTGATCAAGAAATTATTATTAAAGTTAACAAAATACTGTATATAGCAATATTTTTTTATTTTTTTAAAAAAAATAATTAAAAAAGTTTATATTTATTGTAAGAGAAGAAAAAATTAATTGACATATTAATTAAAACTAGAGTCTGATTAATTTACAAAAATTGTTTGAAATTCATTAATATTTTTATTTTATGTTTTTATTTTATATTTTATAAAAATTATATTACGTATATATATTATATATATCTTTATTTATTTATTTTTTATTTTTTTACTTTAAAATAATTTATTTACATATTATTCTTGTAATAAAATATAAAATACGTATATACAGTCTGTTACAAAAGTCTTTGAATTCTTATTTTAATTTACAATTTAATAATCAATTAATTAAAAATTTTATTATCATTTAGTAATAATATTATTAAAATTATATTTGAAATTAAAAAATTATTATATAATATTTTTATTTAAATAATTTATAGTTAATAAATTTTTACAAATAAACTAATTTTTAAAAATAAAAATAATCTTTTTTATATAAATTAAATTATTTTTTTAATTCCTATAATCATTATTTTATATTTCATTTATTTTTAAAAGCAATTATTGTTTTTATAAAAACCTTTTTATAATTTTAAATAAAGATTTTAAAATAAACTTATTAATTAATTATTAATATAAATATATATATTTATTTATTTTTTATTATATAAAAAATATTTAAAGTTCAAAGACTTTTGTAACAAATTGTATATACCAATTATTGGTTTTTAAAAAAACATTTAATAAATAAAATAATAATAATAATAATAATTTATAAATAATTAATTGATACTTATCTATAAACAGTTAAGTTGATATAATTATTAATAAAATTTTGTTATTTTTTAATTATAATTTTTTTAATTTTAAAAACAAATATTATTGTTGAAATTTAAAATAAAAATGCTTAAATATTTATATACTTTCAAGTTATACTGTATATATAATTTTACAAAAAAATCAAATATCTAATACCAATCTCTTAATAATTAATATACTGTATGCATTATTAATTATCACAAAGAATGCTTGACCATTTTTGTAAAATATTAATATTATTAATATCAATTCTCAATCTTAAATAAATAAATATGTACAGTATATATAAGAAAAAAAATATATACAGTATATATGATGTTGCTTGCAAGTACTGGATAAATACTGTATATGCTAAGTTTCATTTGAAAAAAAAAAAGTTCACGTCTTTTTTCTCATCTCAGACTTTTATTATATACAGATAGCTACTATTCCAAGCGTTATTATATAAAAAAATTATATGTCACGCGTACCACGGCCATTGTTCATCCCTTGCATTATGCGATATTAATTTTTTTTGGTTAAGAAACTTGGGTAATATTAGCCAAAAATAATTTACGTGTAAGAACAAAAGTCTCCGATTGGCTAATTAATTGGGTCGACATGATATAAATTCTGGCGACTTTCTGTAAATGGATATGTCATAGTTTCAACTCTTTACTTCTCTTCAATAATACGCATACAAAGTTTATAAATATACGAGAATGTCAGATTTCAGCGATAACTTTTCCAGCGGCTCAAAACATAATCAGGATGACTTTGTTCATGTCACAGAAAATGAGCAAGACTCTAACCACCTCCCGTCCTCTAATATTAACTCTCCTTCCGCCTCCATATCATCCATAATATCCAAACGTTCAAGGCAACAACTACAAATAGACACAGATTTCACTCTCCATCAGTTTGACGATACATGGATAAGACAAACCGATACACCGTTTCCTTCACCACCTTTCATATGCAGTCATTCTCTCCCGCTCACACCGGAATTGTGCATCTTTTCGCCGATGGAGCTGAATTATTCACCGCCTTATATTCCATCATACCTTCGATTAAGAGTGGACAAGATGCAGCAAAATGGAGAATCGTCGGTGGAGTTACCAACAGGCTGGACTCAAGGTTCCGAACATATCAAAATTTCAGATAATGGACTAAAGATCACGTATACCGGTAGGTTGCCTTGATTTATTGCGAAATATTGGAATGTCAAATTTCTCAAGTAACACATTACACCACAGGGCCGGGAGGCAGTATTTGGACAGATGCAGCGGCGGTTATAACCAATCATCCTATACTTCGCGAAGTTGGGATGTATTATTATGAAGTGACAATCTTGGATGAAGGATTTAGAGGGTATGATATTAGGATATTTGATCTTTTTACAATGTAGCAGTGCTGGAGCGGGATTTATGGAGTTTATTATTTAGCAATATCGGACTTGGACTTGCAAACCAATTTAATCCACAGGATCGGATGCCAGGTTCACACATATTAACGTTTACCTAACGATATGTTAACGTTATTAGTAGTTATTGATTTTTTCAGTCTCTGAATTCAGGATGGGATTGTCACTCGATCGGATATCACGGTGATGATGGGCTGCTTTTCACGAACAGCACGGAAGGAGCCAAATATGGACCTTTGTATACCACGGGGGATACGGTTGGATGTGGTATAAACTTTTTTGAAAATAGCATATTCTTTACCAAGAATGGAATGAATCTAGGTAAATATGATAGCGAAACGTTGCATATATTTAGCAGATTAATTGAAATTATCATAACGAAAACAGGTAATGCCGTTGAAAATTATACTCTTTTCGGTCCTTTGTACCCGACCATGGGTCTAATAAGTAAGGATGAATGCGTTGAAGCGAATTTTGGGGCAAGACCATTTGAGTACGATATCGAGTTTCATGCGGAGGTATAGATTATTGTTTTCGAATAGTCATTTTTTTTTAAGATCAGAAGTATATAACAGTATTAATCGTGTCTATTTTTTGAATCTTAATACCTTTTTTTCTAGATGGTATTTCAAAATGCCCTGATGTTTGGTAAAAAGGTAAAACCCGAATATGAGTTTTGGTGAATGAATGAAGTCAAGAGAAAGAAACACTTGATGGATAAAGTTAAATAAAATTAAGTAAAGAACACGAGATTTTCTACAGTGACAATTATGAAACATACAGTATGTCTCTCTATAAACAGTGCAAACAATTTTTAATGACAGTTCTTTTATTGTGCTAAAAGGATGCACATATTACATGTAATCCTTAGTTTGGTTATTTTTTTATACGGCTACCAAGTGAAACCCAATTAATTAACTGATGGTGAACGGAGAGGTACTTTCTTAAATCTCCAGAAGAAATAGCGAACCCTCTGCCCGGAAAAATTTGGCTAATTATAGGAAAAATATTTTATAATCATATACCCTAATCAGCACGGGAGGTGAATTAGTCCTTCTGGCATGTATAAGTTTATTTTATTATAATAAAATTGTTATGTGAACGCGTATATTTTTTAAAGTCCATGTGATCGTGTGATATTGTGAAAATACAGTGGCTTGCATCAGCATTACAGTGGCTAATAAAAATTGTTTGTCACGTGACAAAAGTTAAGAAAAATAATTGGACAATGAAAAAATGTTGTGATTTTGCGAATTTGCAATAACTATGATTGAAGATCTCGAGGAGGTAGGATGGTTGAACGTATTGGTTTATCTGTCATCGAATATTTCAAAATATCAGCAAACAGTTCGGCATCAAGAATTTGTCGAAAAGGGAATAATTTATCCAAGATTTCCCCATTAGAAAATTGAAAGTAACGAATGAGTGGCAGGCAATTCTGAATCGTTGTTTTTAAGGCGAGGAAATCCTTGTCGGCCCAACCTTCAATATCTGGAGATAAATCATGATTCTGTGCAATTCCCCATTGAATAACGTAATCCCAGACCTTGGATTCTTCCATTCGCAGATCATCTCGTTTGATAATCGACAACAATACATTTTCAGGAAGGGTATTGAATCTTTCAGATTCAAATATCAAACTTGGGTGTTTCGAAATGATTTTGTTGCAATAGTCTTGAAGAACACCAGGTTTGTGGATGTCATAAGTGGTCCGATGAACTCTATTAAAGTGTAGGCGTAACCAGGAAGCTTGATTTTGAACGAGATAGTTTTCAAGATCTTCAACAAATACTTCAAGAACGAATTTGTTGGCAATAATCCAAGTGTCAAAAACAATGGAAGTTTCTAAATCTTCAAGATCCATGAAACCACTGTAAATATATCTTGGTGGAGCGTACAATTAGACAGTTAAATTATTGTAAATATCTATTGTATTTTTGTGATATTTAAACAATCTACCTGACGATAATGCCAATAATCTTTGCCGACATTTGAGTTAGTCTGATTTTTCTTACATCATTTTCATCATTTTCTAATCTTTCATAAAGATAGGGACATCTGCAGCATAAAATTGCCGAATGAACTTTGAATTGTTGACTAGTCGAGGTTTCATCCACTTCGATAATAGCGTCGCATTCCGTTTCATTTTCAAAAAGTTTACTGAAATCATTGGAAAAATCATCGAAAAGCTTTTTCGACGATACTAATCTTCTTTTGAGGCTTTGGATCTCTTGTTTTAGAGCATCTAGCTCTTCTTCGGATTCTTGGATTTTACGTTTCTCAAATCTTAAAACCTCGGCCTTTCTCGATTTCATTCTTTTGGGTGTATATCCGAAACACTCCAATTCCATACTTTTTGGAAAAATCAAAATAATTTATTTATTTTTTTTTTTTTTTAATTTATCATACCATGGGATCACGTAGATTGAATTTTTCAAAACCGCGATTCAAGTCATTCTCTTCTCACTAATTATGGTAATCATATTATTACTGTATGTACTCAATTAGCTATCTCAAATACTGATGATTCATGTTACCATTCGATCGTTTACTCTAATTACATTACACACTCACACGCGTATCATTACATAAATCTAGTTTGTTAAGAAATTTTTCTTTTGGGTTTTATGTAATCATTCATTTGCACATTCGTGAGGTATCTATCTTCTTGCTTTAATTCTGATGCAGTAGAAAAATATCATTTTCATTGTCTCATTGAGAACGATCTTCGTTTGTTGATTCATGATTGGAAAGAAGATGTCATTGATAAATGTGGCGAGCTGCAGAGAAGATTGCTGTCGTTCATTAGGGATTCTATTCCTCATGTTGCTGAATTACACGTCTTCATTTTCATGAGATAAGCAAAACCTAAATTAGCTCGAATTTCCCGGTTTGGAATCATTAACTTCCTTTATTGGTTTTTTAGGACGGAGTTACAAATCGTCGAATGCATTTCATCATTAAGAGATAATATTAAAACATGAAAAATTCGTCCATCTTGTTATTCTTTCTTTCCCTTTTTTGCTTTCTTCGGGAACAGAGAATTTCCAAAATTTGTAAGTTTTATGACTTGCCGTAAATATTTAACAATTCGAAAGAAATATATATCTATATATATAATGTACAAAATGCATAAAATCTATCATTTGGATTTCTTTTTGTTTGTCTAATCAACTCGTTCCCACGAAATTTGCAATGTCTGCCGATCACAAAGATTATCAACCTTCCACCCCATTGATCCCTCGCCGCCTACTCTTTGGCAATCCTAATCTAATTCAACCAAAAGTTTCGCTCGATGGTAAATACATCGCATTCATTTCCCCGCGAAATGAGATATTGAATATTTACGTTGCCGAGGTCCCTGACGAAAACCTTGGTGTGGAGTATGGCAAGGAACTGATAAAAACGGCGAAACCCATTACCGAGGACAAGAAACGTGGCATCAGGGATTTTCATTGGAGCTTTGGAAATCAAATCATTTTTGCAAAGGATAAGGACGGGGACGAGGGTAAGATGATTTCAACCTTTAATCGATTTGCTGTGCATATTCACTTGGCTCACTTTTACCTCGGATAAATGTAATAATAGACTTTAAATTACACTCGGTTGACGTAAAAACCCTGGAAGAGAAAATCCTGACTCCCTTCGATCAAACCCTGTCCTATCCCGTGAAATTTTCTGCCCGTTTTCCGGATGAAGTCATTGTGGCCATCAACAAACCCGATCCTGCCGCCCATTCACTTTATCGCGTCCATCTTCGCACAGGCGAATTGCGTTTGATTGAAGAGAATAAGCTTCATTTCTCCGAGTATTTCGTCAATGATGACTTGGAGGTGGTGTTTGCTGCCAAACAGACTGACGAGGCTGGAAGTAGTATTTACAAGAAAGTCGGAAACGGTGTCGAGGAACAAGATTGGAAATTGTTGATTACTTTTGGAATTGACGATGTTGGGGCTTCGTCGATTATCTCGATCGCTCATGATGCGTTTTACCTGAAGGATTCCAGAGGTAAAGAATTTAATGCGATTTATAAGATAAAATTGGATGACGACGAGCTAAACCAGGTTCTTGTCGCCGAACCGCCAAGCACGAGCAAAGCCGAGATCGGTGATGTGTTACTTGACCCCATTACGCATGAACCGATCGCGCTTCAAGTCAACTATTTGAGAAAAGAATGGTTCTCCATCAGCCCCGACATTTTCAAAGATCTCGAGTTTTTGATGAGTTACGATTCCTCTCAAGACGGCGCCATGGGAAAAGGAAATAGCGGATACCGAAAATCGGACATCATCATAAATTCTCAATCCCTCGACAATCAAGCTTGGACGGTGGTCTTCACGAGCGACATTGATCCTACGAAATATTATTACTTTGATCGAAAAAATAAAAAATTAAGGTATCTGTTTAGTGATCGTGAAGATTTGAAGGATTATAACTTGAGTCCCATGTGGCCAGTGGTTATCAAGGCACGAGATGGATTGGAATTAGTTAGCTATTTGACGATCCCGGTGGATAAACTTTCGAACAAGGACGATTATCGACCCACACAACCTTTGCCCTTGGTTCTTAATGTCCACGGTAT